CCGTCTTATTCAGATTCAGATTTATGGCAAATTTACAGCCAGATTTCAGCATAAAATCAAATTTATGACGATTTTTGTAGTGCTATCGCAGAATGAGCTTCAAAAAATTTATCGTTTGAAATGAAATGCCATAAATTAATGGAAAATAAAAACAAGAAATATGAATCTTTGGTAATGTTTACAAATGGATTAGACAAATAAAATGATTTCGAGCAAATAATCGTCAAACTTTCTTTTCCATGGGTCTTCTAAATAATGCCATAAAAATCTATGGATTCCTACTACAATGCTTCCAAATTTTGAAATATTTAATTTTTTTCAAATTAAATTTTTTCATCTAAGAATTTTGGATGAATATAAAGAACTATAAAATGTAAAATAATCTAATATGCACGAAAAACATAGTATAATATAAAACATAATATAAACATTAAAAATCATTTTTTACCATTCAATTAAAATAAATTTCGCATTAGGCTTTCACTAAAATGGTACACAACGGGCACCAGGCCAAGTGATGATCACTGAAGGCCATATAATTTTGATATCAAAAAAACATTCATATGGAACATATCGAAATATATATCGAAATGGAAAATGATGTCGAAGATTCGCTTAATATTTCTATCTCCAAATGACTGATTAACTGGCAAAATTTCTCATCGCACTAATAGCCAATGGAGCAATCCAGATGCACGTTAACCACTTTAATCATGCAATTTTTAAAAGAAAGATTGTATGAAGCATTTTTTAAATCTCTTTTATCATATAGCCCATGCTAGATTTTGAATTGATTATATAAAGTGATTTATTAAGAGAATCTATTTAGGCAAATATTCGTTATTAAAATATATTTGTAATATTCAGTATTTAATTTTTAAAACAATTTTTAAAGCACAATGAAAGAAACTATTTCTTAATGATGGAAGAAATATTGCAAAAAATTAATAAACTGATATTATAAATGATATACTATATCGGGCAATGCGAGTGGTCTACCTTTGCCTTCGAATGACACTGTGGTAAAATTTTCCAACAAAGAGTCTAAAAAAAAAATTTGACTAAAAATGTTGAGTACCAACAACTTAATTACTAATAAATTAATAAGATAATAATTTTCGAAATTCATGTGGATTTCGAAAAATAAGCGAAGATGAAGCTTCATTGATGTGAATGATGTAATAATTGAGAATTGAGGAACATTCTATAGAGAGAGAAGTGTATATTTAAATTGTGGATTTGACCATGAAGCCAATGATTTATTTGGACTTATTCGTCCCTCCCCAATATATTCTTTTAAAAATTTCCCTTCATTTTTTCATTCACTTTATTTCTTTTATTTAAAAAATTGCAAAAAAAATTTCTGAAAAAATTTTTCCGATTTTTCCAACTTTCATATTTTTTTATTATTTGTTCTGTATCATATTATTTTTTATTGTTTATTTTACCACCGTAGCAAAATGGCAATGGATCGGATTAGGAAAGCGCTTAGTTTCCGGCAGATAGAAAGAGTAAGCCTACTTCTATTCTATTATAATGAATTCCTGGAAAAAAATTTTCATACTATTAACTGCCATGGAGTGAGTTTAACGAGAAAAGATGAGTGCTTATCGCTTACTTACTCTTCCTTTTTTAAAAACCCTTGCATTTATTATTATTCAATTTGTTCATAATCATTTATTTTGTTATGCTATCATATTTTTATGGTCCTCATATATTTAGGTTGATATTTGACCTTTTTTATCACAAGGGTTTCCCCTTTTGAAGATCCATTGCAAGATTCAATTTTCGGTTTATTCCCAGATCAATCTGGAAAAATTGTTGAATTCACGTTTCATCTATTTTATTCGCTTTATTCGCTTTATTATATATGCTTCTTTCACAATGTGAACACCGTATTGCATTGTTAATTTTTTTAAAAAAAGGAACAAATTTTTGAGTTATTGGACCAGAAAATTAGCTCCAATAAGCAGCGTGCTATTTGGCTGCAATTAATTAGAATAAATCCAAAAGTAAATCTTAAATGAATTTTATGAACTACTGGAATCGAGGGATTGGGCTACACGGATTCGTTCAAAAATTCTGTTTAGATTTTTACATTGGATAGGCAGTTGACATTCAGCAGGTTTTACATGAATTATATTTATATGAAAAGAAAACAATCTGCGCTAGAAAACAATCTTGTGCAATATGCAAATCGTATTTAGAGAAAATTGAGGAATTGAGGAATTTTTAAGAACTTTAAGTTTGCATATTAATAAAGTGAGGGACCAGTATGGCGAGATTCGCCTAGCCTGCATTATCATTTCTACCACCAAAGTTCAGCCGTTGAAGTAAAATATTCATTAAAAAATGTGGTTGTTGCTAAGGACCGAGTTATACTTCCATCTTCAAGTAATTCGACAAAAATTATTTGATCTTATAAGTAGCCAGTAGAGTAATTCTACTAAACATCTATTTACTTATATTAGAACTGAAGAAACAGTAAAAATATAATCTAAATCCCCACCTAAAACAAACAAATTTACCTCAAAAAAAAAATTCTCTTTTCTGATATTTCATTTATACGACATTCGCATATTTTTTTCAACTTTTCACGCTTTCTCATTCTCATAAAATTCAATACTTCATCTGAATTATTGTCGATTTGATGGAAATTCTCGTATTTTATAGAAATTCTTACTCGTAAATTTATCAATTATTGATAAATAGATAAATTCAAATTATCAAATTATCATCACTCGCAATATAAAATTTTTTAAAACTAGCTAGAATTTATTAAAAATTCCTCTATGTGAGTTGAGTTTCTGAACACTTTATGAGAGATATTATAAGTTTTTGAATGAGTTTTCTGACAGATCTTGCTTAGGTTGATTATTAATAATAAGTTAATTAAAGATGAGTAGGAGAGTAGGGGAGTAAAAAGGACAACTGAAAAAAGCATTGCTCATTAGTAATAAGAAACAAAAAAGATCGACAAAGATCTAGTTTTAAACGAATTTACACTTTTTTTTGAGAAGTAAGCTGAATAGGCAATTGACAATTCAACAGATTTTTTATGAATTACAAGATTTGCGCCTAGAAAACAATCTTTTACTTAGGTTGACTTTCATTTCTTTATTAACCATTATAATGAAACTAACGATAAGGGGAGTAGTATGGCTCAGTAGGTTGCTGCTCGTATTTTTAATGACAGATTCGCTTCTTCTGCAAAGAGGGATGTGGAAGAGGAAGGCATAAACCTTGCATTGACAACTGATTTTCTGGCCGAAACCTTTGTCTCTAAACATGAATGGAACCACTGTCCTTTCGGTCATCCTCCTCCTTTAGTCGCAGCAACATATGAAGTAACACATCGACCAGTACGTGATTAGTCACTAATCTCAAATGACGTTTTGCTGTTTTTGCAGTTCATTTCTGAACCAAATTTGGTTTGAAGATAAACCATTTAAAAAAAAGCTAAAATGTAAAATATAATAAAGATAAAGATAAATATAAAGATAAATATAAAGACAACATTTAATAATTACTTCAATTCTCGCAAAACAACAAATAGAAATGAAAAATTTATAATCCATATGAAATTAAATTAATTTTTCTCGTTCTTTTCACACGCAAATATTTCTGTTGTCAAAGATTCTGTCTGTAATTGTTATCTAATTTTAGCCGCTACAAATTCTGTTTTAAAACAATTATGGAATTTCAGGTGACTAGGAAATTAACATAAAACGTTTTATAAATTTGTTATTACAATTCCTTCATTCCTCGTTATTCGTTTCATAAAAAATGCCAAAATCATCCATCATATTTTTCGAAATCTTATGAAGTGATTTGCCGGATTAGAAAATTTTCGATCTTTTTGGTTTCTCGTGTTTTCTAATACATTCTTCAATATCAAACAGTGCTAATTCTTTTTTGAAAATTACAGTTTCATCAATTTAATTTTAAAATTAGCAAATTAAAACCATTAACTGGGCGAAATGGGAAAAAGCACCACGGGCCCAAATAATAATTACAAGCGAAAAAATGAAAAAAAGCCAATAAGCAACTAAAAAGCCCAAAGAAAATAGGATTTTCCACAAAAATTAAAGGAGGAAAATAGCTATGGCCTTTAAACGAACCTTTAAGCCTTTAAAAAAGGGGAAATTAATTCAGGATTCGACAGGAGCCGACCTCTGACTCCCAACCTATCCATCCAATTTCTTTTTATCGATTCCGAACGACTCAACTTGCGAAATAAGGCAAATATAATTGAGATTCAGCAAATTTTTATCAAAAAAAATGCTAAAACTTTTCTTAAACAAAATATTTATAAACATTCAAATTATTTCAAAAAATTCGAATAATGATAGTCAGCTTTTTTGTGCTTTTTTCAACAGCATAGCAATTGAGAATCCTTTGAATACGCCTCGTATGACTCGTTACTAATTGAATAAATTTTCTCTATCGTTAAATTAAATTGAAGCATAAAAAAGGGATTGATAATCATATCTTCGAAGTCCTAAAACTATTTAAAATTAAATTATTCAAGTAGTTTACAAGTGAAGAACAATTCCTTTTTCATTTCGAAGCCACAAAAATAGAAAAGATTACTAAAATTTTAAAAATAATATAATATATAAATAATATATTAAAATAAAAAAAATTGAATGCCATGAAGGCCAGTTATAATGACAGAATTATTTCTACAAAATCATTTTCTGTTGATACATTATTTATCAATCGTCAGTTATCACTAAAAATTTATTTGCTCTAAAATCCACCATTATCATAAAGAAAAACTGGTCATAACAGTTGATGAATCATTTTGTGAATAAAAAATGATTTTGTTGAACTTATGCAAAGAAAATCACAAAATTAAGCACTAAGAAAAAAATTTATATCCCGTTGTATAAGGCAATGGGCAGTTCTGCTGGTAGCAGTTGGTAATTGGCACATTGGCATATTGACCACTCTGAGGCTCACTGGGCAGTAGGCATTTCATTAGATAATTTCTTATTTTAATATTTCGATGTTTCTTTTGATACAGTTGATGTGGTAACTTCTGTACGAAAACGCTGAGTATCGCCATCTGGTGATGGCTCATAATTATGTGATCTTTTCACTAAAGTTTTCTTATCATATTTGCCATCTTCGATAACTGAATCACTTGAAAGCGATTCCAAATCACGATCCTGAAATTTCACAAATAAATTTTATTTACAGATAATTAATGATCAACAAACGACTGGCAAAATTACTGGAATGCTGTAAGGAAATGATAAGAAAACTTTAGTGATTCCTGAAAACTTCAGTGATAACTTTAGTGATAAGATTTCTAAAAGTTTCTAAATATTACTTTTAGCCTAGCATCGGGTCGGAAGATATCTTAATCACCAGGCAAGGCATCTAAAGCAAAAGTGGCGCAAATTGTTAGAAAAACTAAAAATAGGAAACAGAGACAACAAAGGATAATTCAGTTTATTTATGGTCGTAAATTTCATCTTAACCAAAATATCTGACACTATCAATATTTTTAAATAATAAACAGTAAAATGTAATAATATAATGTCAAATCCAGTATTTACCGCACTGATTTGAGAAACTCGTTGGCCTCGCATATGTAAGTTATTCCAGTGGTTATGTCCAGTTTTACCAACACTGAATTCAGCTACACTTTCACATCGCTCCTGTTCATCTTTATCCATATATGACGAAGTATTAGCACTTATCATCATCTTAAAATCACTTCTTCAAGAAATTTTTATCATTCCTCAGCCACAAGTATTTTAATATATAGTTAAATATGAACACAGTACGATTTAGTTACCTGAGATGATGAATGAGATTCAGCCGAGAGCTCGATAGGAGGATAAACGTGAAACTCTGCAGTGGTACCATGTACATCCGCAGTTGTGATTGTTTTTCGAGTCTCCGTTTTCATAACGTCAGTTGTAACACGTCGTTCAATTTCTTCACGAATAGTATATTCACTTGAAGATTCTGATGTTGAATCGAAGTTATCAAGATGAGCACGTGGAATCCGCAAGCCTTCGTCGAGATAGTTGTTAAGACGTGAGGCGATTACTGCCGACTGAGCTTGCCGATCATCATTCGATCCTCCTTTGAGCTTTGCTCGAGGAATACCTATTATTTGCTTTAAAGATTTAAAAAATCAATGAAATTCATAAAGTGCATTTGAGAAAAATTCAAGGTAAAAAAGCAAGGTCTAGAAATTTGAAATATTTAAAAAAAATTTAAAATTTAAAATATTATTTTTTATTGAAATGTTTCATATTGAATTTTAAAGTGAATTTTTTTTTACAGAAAAATTGCCAGCGATAAATGACATTGTAAGGCAAAACAGCGATAATGAGAAAATTTTAATCGAAGGTCATAAAAAATGAACCTATTTCTGGATAATATTCATGTCCTGCTGCACTCATTCCGGAGAAATCTGCACCACTATCGCTTGAAGTAGAAGCTCCAAGGGTTGACCATGGCCATCCTCCTTTACGATAAGTAAATGGTTCTCGGTACCACAGACTGCGTCCTTTGAAGCAAACACATTTTGTGCAAAAATAAAGAAGGCAACTGAAAAAAAAGTGATCGAATTTTTTTGGAAAATTGTCAACTTAATTATAGCAAATTTCTATTCTAATAGCTTAATTATTATAAGGACAAAGTGCTCTCAACAAGTAATGCTTGAGACCAAAAGTATAAAGACACCTCCAGCACCATTCAGGTTTAATTTTTGATGGCTCTTATAATGAAAGGAAGACGAATTCACTTTTTGATAACACTAAAAATCGTTCAGCTTTTGCCTCCGACATGACTAAACTATTTAACCATTCAGCCATTTAAATCAGCGTTTTGCTGGTGATTTCTCTGTATTGTTTCATCAAATGATTCCTTGGCGAGAATTTCTTACCACACACCTACAGGCATTGGCAATGGTAAACGTTAATCATTCCTCATTCATTTAACAAATCATTTAATAAACTATTTTTTTGATTTTTCGAATTTGAAGTCCTCAAATAAAAATAAAAAACTTATATAAAAAATTAAAAAGACAAATGAATTTACCATAGTGTAAGAAGTAAAAAGAGAATTGCGAGAATTATTGGTAAGATTAATGAAGCGTTAGATGGAGCAATATCACAAAATTCTCCTGTCCATCCATCACTACAAATACAAGTAATATTATTAGTTAGAGAATTATGAACGCAATCTCCATGTGAATTGCACAAATCACAGAGAAGTGCACCACAGACACGTCCAGGCTCATCTGGATTGCCATCAATATATCCTTCAGGACAGTTACATTCATAGCCAAATGCTTTATCGCTACATTCAGCTACTCCTGAAATTTGGGTCTTTTATAAATTTGGAAAGTTGAATAAATATAAATTAGCTACGAAATACCTGAGCAATTAGTTAAACCAAGAGCACATTCATCAACATCTCGCAATTTCAGACACAGAGTATCAGATTTATAAAACTGAGTTCTTTTCTCACTCTTCCGTATGTCGACGAAACCTGAATCACACTGACAAACAGCTTGTTGTTCTTGATTCACACATGATGTGTTTGCAGGACAGAAATTTACGTCAGAACAATAGTCCAGAACACAAGTGCTACCAGGTATTCTACCTGGAGGCGAAGCATCCGTAAATGAAGGTAAGCATTCGCATCTGTACAAGTGCATCTAGAATATTATAAATGACCATGGGTTTTAGTTCTGAATCAAAAGTTTCAAATTTATTCTAGATTTTCTTATTATCTTATCAAAGTTGAAGCTTGGCAGTACTTGATCTATGCATCGAGCATTTTCTGAACATTCATTGTCTTCCTTTCGTTCACATTCATTATATCCAACATTCGGTAAGCATCGCCGACCTGGATCAGTTGGGCTGAGATCTCTATATCCAGATCCACACTCACATCGGTATGCATTTGGGCCTAGGTCGATACAAATGCCTTTCGGATGACAGTTATTCTAAAAATAAATACCACTTAATTTATTGAAAATAAGATTTTCCTCTGAAATTCTGGGAAAAATAATTTACCTTAAAGCATGCTCTGAAAGGATCAGGTTGATATGGATTCAAAAATAGGCTGCTTCTTCCTATTTGATAATTGTTTTGATCAATAATGTGACGAACGAGCATATAATAGACATCAGATGTGATCTGTATAGTTCCTTTGCGAAAGTGTACCGTGGAATTGAATACAATACCTCGGTCCCATGTGGCATTTATAATCACTGGATCAACAATTTCGTTTACCTATAAACTTTTTGCTCAAGCATTGAGGATTTCGAAACCAGGGGAAATCATTTAAAAAATTGAAGCAGCAGTTTTATTTATCATGATAAATTGGGACATCTGTGTCGATATGGTGAATGTTATGTTATCTTGCTTCGACTAAGATCAAGCCAACTGTACCTCGATAACAGTAAACCTAAGAGTCATAAAAAGTGAAATCCGAATGGTGCTGAGGACCTGTACTTCTCGCCTCAATGAATATTTTTAGAAGTGTAATAATAAAGTGTAATAATATGTATAAAAATTAAATTCACCTCGGCAGATATAAATGAATTTTTTAATAAAGTTTGGGAATAACATTGCGATATACCACTTTCGAATCGTCGAACATATTCTTTGTTGAGAGGATGAACTGGATTAGCAAATGTTTCATTATAAATAAGAACTTCAGTATCCTTTCTAATCACCCACAAAATTATGCTCCATGATTCAACAGCTCGACAAGGATCATTTAATGTTCCACGTTTTTCGCCGTGTGCACAACCACAAACGGATCCAGCAATGCAAATCTATAGCATATTTTGGATTACTTTCAGAAATCAGCATTATGGAACATTCAAAAGACTATCTCTGATTCTTCATATAAAATTCGATTAGCATTCCAATTATATATGTGAAAAAAATTAAAATCTAAAAAAAAAAATAAATGTATTCAAATAAATAAATGTATTCATATTCAACTAGAAAAATTAGTTGCCTCGCCAAGTTCCATATTACAATAAGATTGTCCACATATTTCTCCACGTATTTCTGGTGGGCGGCATGGATCTAACTGGTCAACGTCAGGTGCCACACGGAGTGCGCCACCACCTATAGCTCCATTTGTTCGTTGCAATGATTGCATCAACTGATCCCATAAATTACATTGGTCAGTCGAAGAACTAGGTGTCAAAGCGATCGTAAAATTGAATAAAAGGCCATTGGGCCAAGAACTGAAAGTAAACCAATCAAATTATCCTTATCATGATATGACTCATTTAAAAAATTCACAAATTCTTGCTTTCCCATAGAATTCGAATATTTTTTAACAAATATTTTAATATACCTATTGACTGTTTTTGGATGAGTGATGTAATTGACATCTGTAGCAACATATCTTGGTGCATAAGACGTGCTACCAATTGTTCTACCTAAATCATTGGAAAATAGGTGTGTTATTTCAACATAAGGAATGTTATCCGAGTTTCCATATTCACTACTGTACAACAGCGGTTCTGAATCTCTCGTTAGTACTCGTATTGATAGAGGTATCTTTTCTACTGGTTGACATCGATCAGCTGCTGAATTACGTGCTTCACCGGGTCGGCACATACATCTGAGTCCTCCAACACAAACTTCATTTCGAGCAATCAAACAAACTTCATTTCTACCACAAGGGATTCCATCAACTCGTGGAGCATCTTGTGGAATTGTTTTGATCAAATTTTCTTGCTGGAAAGCTGAAATAGAAATAGAAATTTATCGAATTTCAGCCAAATTGAAGTGGAAATTTCCTCAAGGGTTTAGCCACATTTTTTCCTAAAAATATCTTCTCTTTTCACCGATTTCTTGAGTATTTAAATCATACGTGTCCTAATAAAAACAAACCTATGCAAATACGCCCAGGTTCCAATGGACTTGGTGAATTATCATAAAAACCGAGTTTGCAGTGACATATATATCCATCATCTAAATCTTTGCAAACAGCATTCTTATCACATTTGTTTATAGTTGGCTCTAAACATTCATTAAGCCGACAGATACGACCCGGTTGTCCCGCTGGTGATTCATCACGATACGGTGATTTACAACGACAATTGTATCCTCCAGCAAGATCAATGCATTCTGCATGGCGATCACAATCATTAAGATTAGTCGATTCACATTCATTTATTACTGAAAATCATTTTATAAAATACTGCTGATTAATTTATTTGGTCAATTAAAATGCGATTTTCCATACCACTGCATCGTCGATAAAAGAGATAATAGCCGATTGTTGCTCAGATTGTCGTCAAAGCGTCAAGGCTTATATCTCACTTCCAAAAGGAAAAAGATTTTTTATTTTAAAATCTGGGTGATCCATCTATATTTTCCTCCAAATTACTTTTTGGTAAAATTTTTCACCACATTAACAATCAGTGGGATTGTTCCAACCAAAAATGTTGTGAGCAATAACCTAACTGCAAATGAGTAGGGCAAATGCTGGAATCTTTTTTGCGAAAAGTGAAGAAATAAAATCTGTTTTCTGAAAAATGGAAAAAAAATTAAAAAACTAACTATAGTTACAAACTGTGCCCGGGTGCGTCGGATTATCATCATGATAACCTTCACGACAACGACAATCGTAACCTTCCGGACGATCTATACAATCAGCGAATCTAGAACAATTATTGAGAGCAGGACTTCGGCACTCATCAATTTGCTGGAAACATTTTCGTCCTGGTCTTTTTAGGTCAGGTGAACGATCTTCAGCGCTTACAGGACAACGACAAGTATATCCATCTGGCAGATCTTGGCAAATTGCGAGTGGATCACAATCGTTAAGTGAACGATCAAGACATTCGTTTAACTATAAAGCTTAACTTTTACTTAACTTATTTTTAGTTTAATTTCTAATTATAGAGATATTATTATTTCCTACCTGTTCAATGCATATCCGACCTGGTCGATTAATTTTGTCCGGTGACTGATCAATATACCCATCGCGACAACGGCATGTGTACTTTTCTGGTTTCTCTGTTTCACTACAAATTGCTGCTGGATGGCAATCATTTTGACTAGAATCCAAACATATCGGCTCATTTACAATGCATAGCCGACCAGGTTTATTTCTAATATCTGGAGATTTATCGGCGTAACCTTTCAAACATTCACAAGTATAAGATTGATTTCCCGTAGCACGACATGTGCCAGCTGGATGGCAGTCATTCAACAGCGGATCTTGACAAGGATGACCTAGAAAAACAATTTTTACATAAGTACACATAAACCATAAAATTTCAATAGAAAGCAGTTCAATTTCGGTTTCGCCCTCAAACTCTTCGAAACAGCGCGAAGACTGTTAAGATAAGAAGACTGGCAACTTCGGAAATAGGTAAAAAAACTGACGTGGAGGCGACTTTGGAGGTGTGGGTGGTTCACACACACGACCAGATAACGATGGTATCGGCGAACGATCGATAAAGCCCCGAGTACATTCACAACGATATCCTTTCAGTTCGTCATAACAAATTGCATTTCGTGAACAATTGTTTAATCGAGAATCTCGACATGCATTATCTATAGATTAAATTTTTTGTATTAGCGCCCCTTGTATCTGATAATCGATAAGAATTTCATTAATTCAAAAATTAAAAATCTATAATAATTAAGTAGGATAAGCAAAAATCAAATATTTAAACTACAGTTTCAACATTGGACCAAAAGGCTTGTTTAGGTTTGAATGTTCAATATATCAATATATGGGCTTGGAAAAGGAAATGGATTTTCTTCACATTGGTTGGAAATATCTCATCGTTGTCAGCATGCCATTTTTGACAGTTAGAAACATTAATAATAATGCAATAATAATTGTTAGAAGAATCAATTTCAACTTAATTTCAACTGATAAAGATAATAAGCTAAACGAACTTCGGACACAAATTCGCCCTTTTTTGCCTTCAGGAGACTGGTCGATATAACCTTGAATGCATGTACATTCATAAGCATTTCCACCTAATGGCTCACAAGTAGCTGCTGAACTACATTCATGATTTGATGGACAAACCTCTAAAAAAGCTTGATATAAAATTGTACAACAAATGCTTCAATATGCTTTTTTAAAAATGGATGAGAAACTGCAAAAACTGAAAACTTATCAACTAGATCAATCGGAACATTTCGAACTATACTCATATTAATCAATAGCCTTTTGCTCCAGAAAATAAGGAATTGGATATTAAGTGAAAGAACCAAGATGTGTATGTGAAAATTTCAAGTCAGCATGCCTGGAGTACCGCAAACACGACCAGGTTGAGTCATTAGATTAGGCGAACGATCAACATAACCGTCCTTACATTCACATGTATAACCTTCCTCCAAATCCCGACATTCGGCTTGTGCACTACACGTATGCCTTCCAGTAGCGCATTCATCAACCAGCTAAAATCATAATATTTACATTACTTTTCAAAGCACTTTTTTATTTTAATTTTTATCTTGAACTTACAATTTATCTTTTTATTTATAAAATTCCATCAAAAATTTCAAAATTAAGCATAAATTAAATTGAAATTATCATAATAGTGTTTGGAATACGCTAGTATTACCTGAATGCAAACTCTTCCAGGTCTATTTAATTGATTTGGTGATCTGTCGGCGAACCCTTGAGCGCATTCACAAGTGAATGACTGTTCATTGTCACGACATATAGCGTTAGGATCACAATCGTGTTTACCATTTAGGCATTCGTTTTCGACTAAAGTGATGAATAAGAACAACTGAACAATGAAAATCAAGATAGACCATATTTTAGACAAAAGTTTTAGATGATAAAATCATGACTTCGAAGCGGCTTTGCTTTCATGGAATGCATATCAGTGATAAAACTTACAAATAAGACAAACTCGACCAGAAAAAGCAGGATTTGGGGAAATGTCTCTCGAATTCGCAGGGCACTGACACAGATATGAATCTGTTGTATCTACACATTTCGCCATTTTATCACAGTCATTTAACTTCGAATCAGCACATCTAAAATGAGTAATTTCCGAAGAAAAAAATCACGGAGCAATAAATTTGATCAAAACTAATTGCATTTAAAGTATTTAAAGAGAAATAATGAATAACCCTTACTCGTTAATGATTCGCTTACATGCTCGACCTCGGAATGTTGGGGAAGGTGAAACATCAAGAAAATTTTCCTTACATTCACAGCGATATCCTTCATCCAAATCGATGCATTTCGCATTTTTATCGCAGCTAAAAATTATGAAAATATATGAAAAAAATTATTTTTTTATTTGAAATTCTTTAATTTTAATCATCGCAATCGAATAGAGATGGTAGGATAGATTGCTTCCCAGTAACATCCATCTTTACCCACCACAGACAGCGGTCGAACCACAATTTTTGAAACGATCATCAAAGCAATAAATATAAACTTTCTCGAAAGTTAGAAATTATTTTGAAATGAGTAACCCGTTAACCCTTACCAGTTAACGAAGCAAATTTTTTATCTTCTAATCTCATTTGCTTATAAATTTATATCGAAAAAACCTACCTGTTTAAACTTGATTTCGCGCATTCATTAATCATCTGCTTGCATAAACGACCTGGCCGATCTGGAGAACCATCTTTAAATCCTTGATAACATTTACATTCATATCCATCTTCCTTATCAATGCATTCTGCATTTTGATGGCAATCATTTAAATGTGGAAATTGGCATTCATTGATATCTAAAATATCGATGATAGAAAAAGCTCTAGTTTCTAGTTCACAGCAAAAAATGCACTTACATGCTTGACATATGCGACCAGGTTTATTAGGTGGGGAAACGTCTTTGAAGCCTTTTAAACATCGACAAGTATAAGAATTTGGTTGATCGATGCATTCGGCGCTTGGATGACAATCAATTAATTGAGGGAAATTGCATTCATTAATTACTGTACACGATTTTGTTGATGGATCTCGCTTATAATTTATTGGACATGCACATTTTGCGACTCCATTTATAAGCCGACATACCTAAATCATAAAAGCTAAATGGTATATTTTATTTTTAAATTATTCGATATTAAATATTTAAATTTTTTCAAATCTAAGTTTAAAGAATTCACAATTCAGGAAAAATTTGCCAAATTTTTTAACAAACGTTATACCAAATCAAAGAACCTCGTTAAGTTCTACTTTGCATGAGGATGAGCTATCTACACGACATTCCTCAGGTGGTGGAGTGGGACGTGCAACGCAAACACGACCCGGCAAAGAGACACGATTTGGGCTTTCATCAATATATTCCGATTTGCAATGGCAAGAGTATCCTTGAGATAAATCTTGACATATTGCGTTTTTGTGACAATCGTGTTTACCAAGACGACATTCATCGACAAGCGCTGGTTTACAAATTCTCCCCGGTCGATTTCGGTCAGGCGATTCATCGACAAAATCATCACGACATTTACAAGAATACGATTCAGCAGTGTCGATACAATCCGCATTCGGAGAACAATCATTTTTGTTTTCTTTGCATTCGTTTATTCCTGAAGAAATGATATTTGTCACGTGCATTGCAAAAAATTTCCAAAAACTACCTCTCCACTTTTCTTTGATTATGGACTTTGTTTATTTATGTATTGTAATTTTAGAAATAAATTTGTGGCTTCTGAGATACATTTTTTTAGATATTTTTTTAGACATTTTGCTAGCCAAACTTTTTTCTACTTTTTTTAAAATTACTTTGGTTTTTGGTAATATTTGTTTAGATATTTTTTCATGGCTTATTATTTATAAAATAACATTTTTTCCAGTTTATTTCATATTTCATGCACCAAATACAAAAGTAAAGGACAATTCGCAAGAAAATGATTTTACTTACGCAATAGGCAGCGTCTGCCTGGTAAATGAATGGTATCTGGAGAAACATCAATATGACCAGGCGGACATGCACAGATATATGAATCTTCAGTATCAGTGCAAATCGCCTCCGGTGAACAATCATTTTGTCCCGTTCTACATTCATCGACAAGTCTTTTGCACTTACGGCCTGGCCGCTTTTGTCTGTCAAATGAAACATCAAGATAATTAATCGCACATCGGCAAGTGAATGAATCCGGAGTGTCTTCACATATTCCGCCATCACGAGCACAATCATCTGTGCCTTTTGCACATTCGTCTTCCACTAAAAGCTGTTTATTATTTGGAACAATAAACGTATATTGCACAAATTTGTGTAGAAATTCTCCAGTCTTTTCGAGGCAGTAAATTCTTCGGTCCATAAATGATAATAATAATTTAAACTTGTTGATGAATGAAGCCGAAATCAATTAAAAAGTACAAAGCTTGCAGAGCCTTCCGGGTTTCTCAGCAATATTTGGTGAAATATCCAAAAATCCTTGACGACAGCGGCAAATATATCCTTCATCAGTATCCGTGCATATTGCACGATCTGGCGAGTCGCAGTCGTTCAGAGTTGGGTTATCACATTCAGGAATAACTGAAACAACTCAAAAAAATTCAAAAAACAAATATTGACCATATAATTTAAATTAAATTAAATTATCAAGACGATTTAAAGACTGGTTAAATTATAGCCTTATTGCTTTTATCAAATAAGAAGAGATGCTGAATGAATATGGCATTTAATCTAATTGAGAAAATAACTATTCCATTTAACCATTTGTTTTTTGTTAATTTTTTGTTAAAATATCCATCAAGAAAAAGGTGGAAACGGGGATATGGCAGTAAACATTTACGTGGAATACAAACGCGTCCGGGTTTTGATGGATTTGGACTTTTATCACGATAACCCGCCAAGCAAGCACATTCGTAATCATTCTTTCCTCGTTGAATACATCTCGCATTCCTATCACAATCGTTATTACCAGCTGAACACCGATTGTTTTGTTCTTCTATAAAAATCCATTTTTAATAAATTTATAAATTTTATATATCATTTATTTTTGGTTTAATATTCATTTAATTTCATTTTAACCCATTAATAAATGATCCAATAACAAAAATTTCCAGCTAATTCTTAAATAATTTACTATTAAGTGCCAACTTAAAGAAACTTAAAGATATTGCTAATTAAGAATATATCTTATCGAAATGCCTCCATGACACGAAAATTAAATTAAATAGGTTGAACCTTTTTTACATTGCCGTCCAGGATTACGCAATTCATCCAGATCAATATATCCGTTTTTACAGATGCATTTGTAGGAATCGACTGTGTCGATACAAATCGCATCTTTATGACAAGTATTTAAGGCTTGGTTTAAGCATTCATTCATTATTTCTTTACATACAACTCCACCAAAACTATAAGGTGAATTTTTTTTACATAGACCAAAATTATGAATCTCTTGAATTAAACATAATTAAACATTTTCAATTAATATTTAAAGAAAAGAGCTGAACAGCATTTTACTCCAGTCCAATTTCATTTAGAAATGCAATGCTTTTTACCTGTGAGGATTTGGAGAAAAGTCTACATATCCTGGCTTACATCGACAAACATATCCCTCAACTGTGTCTGTGCAAATAGCATTTGGCGAACATTTATGTGTGCCATCTGCACATTCATTCCGCTCAGCAGTACATTTCCTTCCAGGTTTATTAACTTGATCAGAACTTTGATCCAAATAACCAGCTTGACAAGCGCATAAATATCCATCGTCAGTATCTATACATCGTGCTGTTTTATCACAATCGTGCATTCCCAATGAGCATTCATCTTGCACTAAATATATTAAAATATAGATGCAATGAACTACTGGATTTCTAAATATGATTTTAATTTCCATTTTATTTTCATTCACTGTCTCCTGAAATACGCAATATTCTAGAAACCAACGGCAAATGCCAGTGACAGGATGGCGTTTTTCACTTTGTTCACATTGGCATGCATGATATCGTCCTGAGACATGCAACAAACATTTCTCTCGTTTCCTAATATCACAAGGATTTGAAACTGTTGGATCACAAGAACCTGGAGCACTACATTCGCCTGTTCGTCGATTTCGCTCATAATCAAGTATACATTGACACTAAAAAAAACCAAAAAATTTCCCGTTTTCTCACTGTAAAAGCTTAGCCTAAAAAAATTTGAATTGCTATTTCTATTTTATTTTTTTTTGTTTCTAGTCTATTTTTTCTATTCTATTTAGAATCTATTTTTCAAATATTTAACTTATATTATTTTGCATCTGCATAGTTAACCACATGTTTAAATAAATAAGTGAAATTATGTATTGTATCGTGAAGGGTTCAGACAGGAGCCTGCGACAGGAGAAAGATCCAAGTAGTGCGACCTATTTTGTATTTATATGGCCAAATCATTTCTTGAAAAAAATTTCTAGCCATATTAATAACTAAAACCAGGCCAACCAGAGATGATATTTATTACATAAGTACATCTTAACTGGAAGCAAGAGAAGCAATAGAAATAGAATATTTTTAATTTTGAAATTGAGCTAGTTTTTTTACCTGATATTTTTTTGATACAACATCCTGAACGCAGTATTCATTAGTTGAACATTTAATACCGCCATTTTTACAGTCGGCATCCAGTGATGGAAGAACAGTCGGTTGATGCTGTTCCTCGATTGATACTGAATTTATTTATATGTGGCATTATCGTATTTAGCATATTTATACAATCAAAATATTATTGTGAAAATTTTATAATTATATTTCGCTGAATACCTTTATAAATATTCTGATAAATAAAGACAGCAGAAAAATTAGTGAAATTTTAAGATTTTGTCGAAAAGCTTACAGCAGATGCCACTACGATGATCCCTTAGAAAGCCTTTTGGGCAAACACAGCGGTAGTTGGAAAATGGTGTAATAGTACAGATTTCAGGATCAGGGCATGAGGTGGGCAGTTGCGGATTGCACTGATCACCACCACAGACACGAGATATAGGATGACGATGAAATCCATCAGGGCATTGACAGTTATTGACATTCTTTTTCTAAAAATTTCGTAAAACCTAAATTAGTGCGATTCTTTTTGTTAAAATTTCCCTTTACGATCATCTTTTTCGAATTGTTAGCAAATAAATCACAAATAAAATTGAAAACTGCCAAAAATTGTGAAAAAATTAGCATAAAAATTGGTACCTTAACACAAATTTCATTCAAAGCACGATTGCAGCCAGTTTGCACTACAGGATTGCAACCTGAAGGTAGTTGAGTTTTAGGTCCTAATGATGGGCAAGCAGCTTTTTGAATCAGCGAACGCAGTCTCGTATCTAAATCTTTGAAACGATCGACATAAAACCATCGTGCTGGTGATCCAGAAATTGATTCTAGCTCAGATGCTAAAACATGGTCAGTTACTCCAATTGCAAACATGTTTACACTTAAATTTCTTGCCGCCATAGCTGGTTCCGTAACATTGTCTTGACTACGACCATCAGTAATCACGATTGCTACACGCGTAACATTATCGCTTTTTATGCGAGCACCACGTCGTTGTGAAAATCCTTCCATTACCATGTGTTGAATCGCTGCACCAGTCCTGAAATGTATTTTATTTTGCACAAAATCTTATCTACATAAATCTTATTCAGGAAAGAAATTATCCATAAATTTATAACTTTATAAATTTTTTAAGTTTATAAATTTAGACTTAAGTTTTATAACCTAATGATTCTTCTTTTTCTGCTAATATCACTAAACATTTTTAGTTTGACTGGTTGTTATGGTTATTAGGATAAGAATCCTTTATCAGAAAACCATAAGTCCACGTGTGGCACCACACGTGTTTTCTTAACAGGTTCACTCTTGCTAAAGAACAGAGTCGAATCTATGATAGTTTATTATCATTTTATTATTCGAAGCAAGATGCCACTCTATCAGTCATTATTTTGTTAATATTTATTTTTCATTAAGCTCGAATCAGCTATTTTACCTTGTTAGACCAGTGAGATACTGCACTTGCGATATGGCTTGATGAACTGACGCCTTATCGGCATATTGATTTAGATCAAATTCATGCCTTATTTGATCTGAATATTGAATAAGTCCAACTCTCGTATTGTCCAAACCAATATCGAAAAGCTCTATGAATTCTTGTATAAATCTAAGTACCTGTAAAAAAGGCTGAATATTTATTGCTAAATGAGGCATTTGGAATATTTGAGTTCTTCATTTAAAATATCAATTATCCGATTATTTCAATTATTTCAATTATCCAAGATTATTTATAGAAATATGTAAAACAACAGCAAACCTCATTTTTGAAGACATATGAGCCGATCGAGCCAGAACCATCAATAAGAAACATCAAATCTGTTTTTTGTTTCGGACATGTAGTCTGCAGGGTGCAGACGCGGCCAGGTGGAAGATTTGCACTTGATGACACATCAACGAATCCAGCAAAACACTGACAAGCATATGAATCCGCTGTATCAATACAATCCGCATTTTCATCACACGTGTTTAATGAACTTTCAGCGCATTCATTGCTTGCTGCAATCAGTTTTTGCAAACATTCATTCATAATTCTTAATTTCTAGGCTTGTATTTCGTTCAGAGCGCAGGAAAAAGAATCATTATCTTTCAGATTGCTTTCTTCCTTTAATAGCAATTTCTGGTTTCGCAAGTTCCGTTGTTTTATTAGAATGAAACCTCTTCAGAGAGTTAGTTGAAGTAGAAATATGGGGGGGAACCTTGTTCGCACCACCCGTATTTCAATTTTCAAGTCACTTTTTCTCTCTTCGAACAAGGGAAGAACCTAAAACTCTCGATCTTAGTCGATGAAACTTGTAATTCGACCACTCTGCTCTGATTTTTTTTCTAAGGGCGCTCATCCATTGTTGATTAGGCTGTCTTCGCTTGCTTATTGGACCAAACAAATTTTGCCAAATTTTGTCATTTAAGTGCGGGTGAGTCGCCACCCGGCCCTGCCTTGATTATCAATTCAATGGAAATTAAATCATAAAAATTGAAATTTTTACCATTACTACATCGACGACCTGGAGCAAGATGAAACTGGGAGGAAGTATCAACAAATCCTTCTTTACAATAACACATAAATCCATCTGTAGCATCTTCACAAATTGCATACGATGAACAATCATGGGCACCAGTTGCACACTCATTGACGACTGCAGTAGTAAAGCTTTAGAAAATAAAATAATTTTTAAGATAGTTTAATAGTTTACAAATGGATAACTGAGTCGATACTGTTGACAAAAAATTTGAAAATTCGAAAAACCTACGCTCTTTACATAATCTGCCAGGCTTATTTTCTGGATCTGGTGACATATCAATAAATCCAGGCCTGCACTGACATTTATACGTATCAAATGCATTTAAACATAATGCATTTTTATCACACTTATTATCACTAGTACAAGCTGAATACACTGAAAAATAATAACTGGTTATTTTCATTTGTAATGGAACCTGCATCGATTTTCTAAAGAATAGATCACATTCGAAGTTAAATTCGGATTATTCAGAATTAAAAATGTAAATTCCTCCCCTCCAAATTTCCGCGACTTCCTTTTTTACTTTCGTAAATTAGTTGAGTTTTGCCCTTTAACAATAAATTATGCCGTATCTAATTTTCGTGAACCATTTGACATGGATGAATGATTCACAGAAAAAGTTTCTACTAGGTTTTATTTGGTAATATTTGGTTTTTGTCGTTGTTTTCTGGCTCTCGTTTGTATTCCCCTCATTGTCCATGTATCTTATTAGGTTTATTAGGTTTAAGTTTGCAAATGAAAAATTTTGATCTGAAATGTACTCACATCTATCATCACACTGCCAGTTCAGAGAGAGTATTCTAAAATATTACTAAAATATTTTTGCATGGCAGGCGACAATTATTATTCTCATTGCCTCTTTAATTTTTTACAATATGTATTTGCACCATATGCATAGGGAAAACTTAAAAAATCCGAACGATACTAGGCTAGGCCTCTATTTTTAATCCTGGTGAACCACGATTACCAGCAGTGGTAGGCAGAAAAAACGTAAATGGGCTATAACAGCGAGTGGTTGAAAAAAGGAAGCTTTCATTCGTGTTGCATAGTCGTTTATATCCTCTCCCCCCCCCCCCCCCCCCCCCCCACGCATAGCCTTGTACCTGCCTTCTTACCATACCGCTATTCGATGTTTCTGGCACATTATTAAAGATCTATCAGTCCGGAAGTATGTATTATATATATATATACCGTTATTTATACATTGATTCCCACGTGGCTAGATCTCTTCGATGTCGAAGCCATGCATTAGAGATGGCGACGGTTTAAAATTTAATTTAATTAAATCCTTACCCATTCTATCAAATGAAATTATTTCATTCCTTATATGCAAATTCTCGGAATAGTCCAAATTTTCAGAAATATTTTAAATTTTCGTGAATTTTATTATATGTTATATGTTATAATTTTACAAGTTATAAAATAATTACTTACATCTGCAAGTACCATCAGTAAAACGGAAGGCGTTTGGATTGCATTCGCAAATGAATTGTCCACGAACTTTACGATCAGTGCAAATTTCATTTTGACCACATTTTGGATTTTTTGGATCGCAAAGATGCAGTTGGCTTTGCGACTCTTTTATATCTTTTTGAGCTTCTTCGCGAGGTTTGTGACACACACGACCAGGATAGTGAGTAATATTGAGTGAAGCATCTACATAACCAGTACGGCAAGTACATATATATCTGTAAATATCAGTCAATAATATTGCTCAATTTATTATAATTTAATAATAAATATTACTTAGTTATTAAAAACTATGTACATACCCTTCTTTAGCATCTTCACAAATGGCATTTTCCGAACAATCATTCAATTTAGCATCGAGACATTCATTGATAGCTTCAATACAACGACGTCCAGGAAGGCGACTGAATGAAGATGATATGTCAGCATATCCAGGTCGGCATCTAAGCATTACATCTATTATGTCCTTCGAAAGAAGATTTGTGATTTTGCTGATAATTCTGATGCACTGCCCATTGATAAAATGGGTTTAGTCATTCTATTTGATTCAAATTACACAATAATTTAATCTAATTTTTGATAATAATCAATGCAATTGGGTAACAAGAATTTATGAACTTCACCAAGTTGTGGTCTACAGTAATATTAATAAACCTGCAAGTAAAGCCATCTTCGGTATCAACACATATTGCATTCTGATCACAGTCTACTTTGTATTTTGTTGGGTTTGAACATTCATTAATTCGACGATGACATATTCTCCCAGTTTTGCCAGGCGGTGAAATATCAGCGAAGCCATTTCGGCACCGACATATATATCCTTCTGCCTGAAAAAGCTGGCTCTAGTTTTATATCTTTGTCGCACTAATATTTTTCTTTCGACATATTTTACGATCAAAGAGATGAGCTATAGCCAGCCACTGATGATTATTTTAAACAACATTGAAACAGTTTTAAGAAATTTTTCCAAATTTTGCTATGAATATGAAAATATATTCTGTGAATAGATTATCGATTAAATATATATTTTCCTACCCAAAGTGGCAAGAAATAATTGTCGAATGATTCTTATATCTACAATGCGTAAACAATTGGTATATCATAATTAACCCTCTTGTAGCTTAGAAACAATCAGCATTTGATGCTTGGCCTCAGCTCGGCCTCAATATATCACTGTCCTATCCGTATTTTAATACTCCTTGTAAATTAAATTGTAAATTTTCGAAAGGAAACTGTACTTGATCAACACAATCCGCATCTAAGGAACAATCATTAAGACGGCTATCTTTACACTCATTGATGACAAGGCAGCGTCCATCTGGCAAACGATCACGTCCGGCTGCACACTGACATTTATATGTGCCATTGATGAAGAGACAAACTTCTTTTTTATGAGCATCACAACTCAGCGGATCATTCACATCACATTCTGGTGGATCAGGTGCTGGAGCTGAAAAAAAGTTTAATTCTTTTTATCCCTTTAATATTCCTTTATTAATATTCCTATTAATATTCCTTTTTACACACATACCATCAGTTATATTCATTAAGTATAAAGTAAACCTTTGACACAGGTGCGACCAGGACGATTAATCGAATCCGAACTTTCATCACGATAACCATCACGACATCGACAAGTAAAAGAATCTGCCGTATCTATGCAAGACGCCGATGGTGAGCAATCGTGCTTGCCAGTTGCGCATTCATTAATTACTCTTAAATTAATTATATCGAATAGTTATAAATTTGAACAAAAAGACAAATGAATCACAGTGCAAATTACTGATGAAGAAGAATTTAATTTAATTATTACCAGAACTCATATGTAAAAAATCAAGAATTTTTCAGTAAATTTGGAGAGTCTGATAATATTTTTAAAAATAATTTCAAAAAGTTGTGGACCTAAAAAATATGGTTAAATTTTTTTTGTTGAGTGCATAGTAGTCAATAATGCTTGGTGCAATTCGAATTAAATTAAATTGGAAAAAAAATCGCGAAGTTTAAATAGGTCAATTAACAGAAATTTAATATTTTCATGAATGTAACCTATATAAACGTAATCTCATCGATGAAATAAGAAAATTTATAAGAAATACTTTATATATATATAATTTATATTGTATGCATATTTCTATTTATAAATATTTTTTATAAATATTTATCAAAAAATGTCCTAGAAATAGGTGATATTTAAATTATTATAACAGAAATTCGAAGAGAAAAATAATTACTTGCGACAAACTCGGCCAGGCGATAATCCATGCTGTCTTGATATATCGATATATCCAGAATTGCATTCACATACTGGGCCATATTGTGTTTCGTGGCATTCAGCTTCAACAGCACAGTTAGCACTTGCGCATAGATTGGCTAAATACGAACTAAATTTTCATGAGATCAATAATTTCTTGAATGAATTTATATGAAATTTAGCATATGCAAAAAATTACCTCGTTTACAGGTTCTACCTGGTGAAAGTTTCGGATTAGCACTAATATCAGACCAGCCAGATTTGCATTTGCATGAAAAACTTTCTGGAGTATCAATGCAATCCGCGTTTCCATCGCAATCATGAGTTCCCAAAGCGCATTCATTCACAACTGTAAACAATTTTCTGAATGATATATAATGTACCATAGATTGCAACAAATCGGCCATTTTCCCTTACAAACGCTTTCAGATGCCCTTTAGAAATGGGCCATTTTTTTAGAAAAAAACTTTTATGTAATCAATTTTTCGGTTTTCTATTCGGTGGTAAAATTTCTATCTTTATTTTAATATGAATATTTCATGATATATTCAAATGCAAATATGTAACATATGAGGTCGCATAGAATTGCCAACATTACTGCTTAAATTGCCATTCCAAGGAGTATTTATATATGATATTTTATTTCTATCCTCTCCAGCAAAAATTTCTCATTCTAATAGATAGTAAAGTAAGTGTAATCAGAAATAGCGATAATTGCAGAAAAAAATCATAAGACCCAGTGTTCTTTTGATTTACAAGAAATTTTTCAAAAAAATCATTTTGTGACTAAAATTTAAAAGCTTTAAACTAATGCGGTTTTTAAAGAAAAAGGTTATAATTACAATAGATGACAATAATTGAAACGTTGATGCAAAGATCCTTCAAGGACAAATGAATTAGAAATGAAAGAATGGATAATAAAGGAAAATGTGTAAAAAAAAATGATGAAAAACGAATAATTTGAAAATTAGAGCTGATCTGATTTATTGCAGCAAAATTGATTTTCAAGGATTGATTTTAGTAATCAAAAAAATGATAATTTATTGTTAATAACTGGGTTAATAAACATTTGAACATTTCAATTTTGTTTGAATTATTTGAATCAACATAATATAATATCAAACATTATAATATATAATATAACATATATAATATATAATATAATATAATATAATATAATATAATATAATATAATATAATATAATATAATATAATATAATATATATTATATTATATATATATATATTATATAAATCATATATAATATAATAATATATAATATAATGTAATATATAATAATATAATATATAATAATTATATAAAATATAAAATATATAATATATAATATAATATAATATATAAAATATATTATATATAATATAATGTAATATATAATATAATATAATATATAAAAGATTTCTGAAATAAGTTTTCAAAAAATCTACCAAAATTTTTCATTATTGCTTTACTTCATGGCTACTGTATTGTATTAATCGTTATAAAAGTGAAAAATATACTGGTAAATACTGAATAAAAAAATTGTCGCGGAAAGTGAAAACATTTAAGTCATGACTGCTGTGGACAAAATGGTCCTTCAAGCTGTATTCAGATGTAATAAGAAGGTTATCGAAAATTTTCTTGGTTTAGTTAATATGTTGATCTGTTTTAATTAAGGTCAAATGGTTAGTGAAAATTTATAAATATTCAGCAATTAATTGAGTTTGATTTATTGAGCTTGAAATTTCTGATATTTTCAACTGAAAAATTTGACAGGTTTTTAAAACAGATATCACGGACAAATTTTTCTTACTTTTTTTGCATTTTCGACCAGGAAATCGACTATCCTTTGAAAGATCAACAAAACCTTTAGGGCAACGGCATTGAAAATAGCCTGGTTGCTCGCTGAAACATTCAGCTACTGGATCACAATCGTGCAAGGAATAGTCTTCACAAGGATTCGATCCTGAAACAGTAAGTACTTCAAAAATTTAGTCTCAAAAGCTTCCAAAGGATTTTAAATTGGTTGGTAATTAAGATTTAGTAAAAATAATCGTAAAATAAAATCTTTAGAAAAATAAAACCGTAAATGAATAAGAAGAGTGGCTCTTAGAGTTTATATCGAAAAAACGTGCAAAAGTTATTGAGCTACTCGACGATAGGCAGATAATCAGTAAATTTTGTTGGAAAAGAAATAGTAAAAACTAAAATAGAAACTTTGAATTTTCGAATAATTGGCAATCGATTTTCACATACTGGAATATCATTTAATGCATTAGATTCGTTGTTTTTAAAATAGCTGAATTTTACTAAAAACCATATTAAAAAGGGAAGGAATGGAAGTTAATAATGGAAATTGGGTGCAAAAGAGTAGCCGAATGGTTGATGCTCGTCATAAGCGTCGAAGTTCGGATTTATTCGTCGAATGAAATAAATTTGCCAAAAATTCGACTGTTGCTAGGGATTCACAATTTCTATCCCTAAGTGGCTTTTTTGAAAAAATTCCAGTTTCAATTCCTAGTTTCAAGAACCAGTAGAGCGAGGTTAATTAGAAATTATGAGCATTAACACTTAATTATTCATTTAGATAAATTATATAGCAAATTAAGTTTAATTCAGGCAGAATTTATCACTGCTTACTTATTAAATATACTGTAGGTAGTAGTAGTAGTAGATTAATTAAAAAGACGACAGTTCGTAAGAATTTCATATGATGGAAGATACGACTAGTGAATCATTCTTCCAATTTCGAAAAACTGTAATCATATATTAAGCCCATTGAAGACCTGTGTAAAACCGCCTTTTCATTCTATTTTGAATAATGCCAAGGTGAATTAATATTATTCATGACCTCGCAAACTGGCCGATTATTCTCTGCTGCCGTTATAATTGTTGTCTCTCCCCTAACGAAGAGTACTATGCATAATCTTAATTAGTCGATTTTTGCAAATAAATTCAACAATGAAAACTCATCAGCAAAATCTGAATGAAATAGATCATTGCTTTTGTTGCTTTAAGTGCTTTAGATTTTGCGCTCTAATTGGTTCTAAAAAATAAACTCATTGTTATTGTTATAATTCATTATTTTAGGTTGGTTTAAGCGATCAGACAAGCGAATATGAATAAATTTCCACAATTTTTTGCTGAATTTTAAGGTTTTCGACTTCAAATTTCCAATAAATGACTATGACTAATAATTAAAGAATGCAATAATTTGAATGCAATAATTAAAGAAAAAAAGAAAAGAATTGCGAAAAAGATAACAAGAAAATTAAAAAACAAGTGTGGGATAAAAGTGCAAAAAATAAAAATTATTTATAACCAAGAAGGATGAAAGGAAATTGAAATAAACATAAAATATAAAAAATTCTTCAAAACTTTTTATAAATTTGCGAGATAAATAGTAAAATCAGAAATGCAGTGGCGAAAAGCGAAATTTACAGATTTCTGTTGCCGATAAATTTAAATGAAGGCCATTTTTAATTTTCATTCATTAAATTATGCATAAATTTTAGTAACTTGATATAAAATTAATAAATCCAAAGCGCATTTCAAACTGAATTATTGAAGCATCCCAATGACACAAATATCAATGACTTTTCTGGAACGGCAAATGAATACTGGTCCAAACTAAAAGAATGTCTCTCAGAAATTTAGCCACTTCCACGCTAAGGTATGGTAGTGGGAAATGCGCTATAGAAAGCAACTGTCCAACTATCTGAAAAAACTGCTAAAGTCAGGTGATTTTAGGTGACAACCGGATAATTCAAAGATTTGCAACGAAAGCAGCAAGGCGGGACAAAAATCACTATTGGAGTGGCATGACCTTGAGAAATGGAGGCGGCAGCTCAATTAGGCGACAATAGAAAACTATTCTGCCTTCTTCATAAAGCAACTATGACTCGGGGAACGATCAATGAAATGGAAAAAGACAGTTTTAATTTTTAACCTCACAGCCAACGATAATTAAACGATCTTTCAATATTAAATTCTTTATTCAGAGCCCTCAAATCTCGGTTTTTAAACTTTTCGCATTTAAATTAAAACTTCCACACATTTTAAATTACTGTTATCCAACATTTAAGCCTACCAATTTGAAAGGAGATTTACAAAATAGTTTACATCTCGTTTAAATTCACACCCAACATTTATTTTTAAAGTTTAGATTCTTTAAGGATTAGAACTAGTAAACAAAATTTATTTTATCCGAAGCATATGATTCTCCGAGCACGTTGGTACCTGCGATAAATATGCAATCTAGGCATTGTCAAACGATCTCAAGGTCTGAGAATATAATCTGCTCGCGAGGATAATTGCTCGAAAGATCAAAGGAAACAGTCACGCGTTGTGAGGTATTAGCCATCATATGGACTAGCCGACCAAGGTCATTTAGCAGCGTGGAACGTCAAAACGATTATAGGCGTTGCAAGCCAAGCGTTTACTGTCCACACTATTTCTAAATATCGTGTGGATATTTAGTGTCAGAGGTCCTTCTTCCTCAAAATTATTAAAATTATTAATTATTAATTAATTCTTATTTCTTGCTTAAAATTATTAAACCTGGTCTTACTCCGAGCAGAGATATATCATTGTGGTATTTAGGATAACTCGGAACGAAATGGCGTAGTGATTGTCATGCTTTGATTTAGTGGAAACCCGCAAGGATTTGACACATACTTCATTACTTGACAAGCTCTATAATGGATGTCAAAAGCGAAGTGGGCCAATCGACCTGGATTGTACGGTAAGGAAAGATATTAGACGTATGACTGGACCAGCTTCATATGGACTTAGATGAAATGGTTTTATTATTGTTGATTATGACGTTGAATAGCTAGGAGACTCTTACCCTTATAGCCGGTAAAACCAGCCTAACCAGTAATGAAAAAGAAATAAGATAAACTTCGAAATATTATTTGTTTTCGTTCATTTAAATTATCATGGATTGAAAACACACAAAACATAAAATCCAGATAGCAAAACTTCTTCGTCATACGCAGCCAAACTTCTTCATATAAATTAATGGAATAAGTTACCATCTGAAGTGATTTTTGCTTTAGTTTCATTCAGACTGCATTCAATTTTGTTGATTTCTGCTAATTTGCAAACTGTTAAGTGATAATTTCTAGTTTTAATTGAAATTAACTACAAATATTACATTTTCCTCTACCTATGTTATTTATTACCTTTTGCCTATGCTACCTTCTTTTATTTTCTGTTTTTTATTGTTTTTTTTTTATTTATTTATTAATAAAAAGCTTATAGCTTAAACCCTGTTTGATAATTTTTTTAGTAAATAAAAGGTGTACATATAAAAGGTTTTCCAGTCTGATTAATAGATATCAAACCAACTGGGAAAACTCACCGGGTATGATACATTTTGTCTTAGAATCAGCATGGTCGTGATTGGCGCAAGGACAAGCTAATCCAGTTTCATTTCTGGAACATTTAGATATCTTTGGATCGCAAACAGTTGAATTATTTGAAGTGCAGTCAATTGATGCTGTAAAAAATTAACGAAATTATGAACTCGAGCGATAGGATATGAATTATGTTTTGAAATTTCCACACTTCCGTTTTTCGATGAAATAGCCAACAAAACCAATTATCTTCATGATTTCATAAAAAATGAAAAAAACAACAATAGCAATGGATCATAAACATTATATATATAATGTGCACCTTATCTGACAATATCTGACAAATGTTATTCATAACAGTACTTTTTGCTATGGAAGAAAAAAATAATACCAGATGACTGGAGCAAAGAAATTCAAGACATGTTGTGACAATTACTGAAGAATCAGCTAGACGTCTCAGGCAAAATTTTTTCCCTTCTACTCAGTTGATTCATGGCAGTATGAAGCAGCAGAATTCTAATCAAGCTGGATTTAGACTGGAGGATGATTGTGTTGACAAAATTCTTGTTAAAAAGGGTGTTGGAACAACTCTTCAAATATCTTGAACACACTTTACGTGTTTCATCGATTTTACGGCAGCTTTCGATTCAGTTGATAGAAAGGCTCTTTGAAGACTGATGGAGCGCAACAGAGAAAATCATTCGATTCGACTTATAAGAGCATTTAATCAGCGTACGTCGGCACAGATCCGTGTATATGGGGAACTGACAGACTCCTTCGAAATAAGAATTGGTGTCAAGGTTGCATCCTTTCCCATACAATGTTCACTTATGCGATAGACTGGATAATGACCACCGCTTTTTGCCACTTAAGGGGTATATAATCCAGAGCACTGTATCATAGACTTAATACGCTGATAGTGCTCCTTTTTGCTGACAGTTATGACGAAATGAAATAATGCTAAATAATAGTCAATAATTGCAGTGAGAATCTGATTCAGAGTCAATGTAAATAAATAAATAAAACGTAAATTAATGTAAATAAAAGGGGAATTTTATAAAGAGGAGAAGCTGATTAAACCTGTTTCTATCAATCTACCACTGAAGAAGGTATTAATATCTTCTTAAACCCACTCTAATCCCAAAGGCCAAGCGAAAGACAAAACTACCCTGGTAACGATAGCTAGAAGTGCATGATGTTCTTCCAGATTCTTGATGAATTCTTTGTAGAACGTCGCAAAATCTCCACAAAAACGAAAGTCTGCGCCCATATAGATGCAATTTGCTCAATATTGCAATATGGTTGTGAGATATGACCAATGAGGATGGAGTATTAAGAAGCTATCTGCCTTTGACCACTATGTCTAAGGTACATTTTACAGGTTCGCCGAGTGGATAAAATCTCACTTGATCGCATCCAGCTCAGTTCATATACCACTTGCATTAACAGTACCATCACAGAGCGTCACCTTTGCTGGTTAGGGAACGTTTTTCGTCGTTCTTCGCTGCAGGAGTCGATACATATTTCGTTACTTGTTAAACCCTGTGATGAGTGGCGTCAAAAGCGAGGTGGGCCAATCAAGACCTGGACTGATACGGTCAGGAAAGATTTTGAACGTATAGGTGGACCAGCAATATATGGACATAGATGGACGATGAAATGGCTTCTATTACTGACGACGATGGCATCAGATCTTGAAAAAATCTTATGCTTATAGCCATCTTAACCAGTAATAGTGAGAGATGTTAAAAAAAGAAGAAAAGATAGTTGTTAGAAAAAGAAGAATATCTGACAAAGGTTTGTCTTTTAAAAAATTTAAAAAAATAGAATAAAAATTTTGCCAATTTACAATATTGGATATAAATAAATTTTAAATATAAATAAATTTTACTTATATCAAATTTTAAAAATCTTTTAAAATAATTAATTGATGATTTAAGTGTAAAATTACGTAGTGCGCAAATCCTTCCAGGTTTATTGATCGGATCATTCGAAACATCTAAATATCCATCCTTACATTTGCACTGATAGCCAACAACTAAATCGGTGCATCGTGCAAGTGGATCGCAATCTGCTAATTTCGTTTTGCACTCATCGACTACTGAAAAACAACCATCGTATTCAAATCTCCAATTTTTCTTGGTTTTTTTAAAATTTTTGACTGAAATTTTTTGAATTCACGAAATCCATGAGATTTAGAATTTGTACAGCTAACATTTTTGGCATTTTCTTCCCGGATCTCTAGCTCCACCTTCTGAAATATCAACATAACCATTTTTACAACGACAAGTATATCCAATTGGTTTATCAATACAGTCTGCATTCTTGTCGCAATTGTTTTTGAAACTTAATGCACATTCGTTTACCACTAAAAATTGGTATTTTTATTGATATTTTAAAGGGTCAACAAACCATAGATTAATGGAAAAGAAACAAACGATGTGATTTGATGGTAACATGATGGGAAGAAAGATTTTTTGAATTCTATTCTTTAAGTGCTTGAAATTTGATCATTATATTAAAATAACAAAGGAGAAATAGACTGATTGTGGATCAGTCATTTTTTATCTTGTTTTTCCTCAAACAGCCATTTCTGGTTTTTCTGCAATCTCCACTGGCTATCAGGATGAGATCCCCATAAGGTCACTTAGGGGATAGAACTGCGAGTTCATAGCACTATCCGAGTTTCACTTTTAATATCAGGAACTGATCCTGTGGCTTGCATTAATCGAAATAACACCATTTGAACTATATTATATCCTTAATTAATTAATGCCTATTTTATATATCACATATTTTATATATCACATAGTTTAAAAATATTTATTTTTCAGTTATCAGTGAAACGAACATTTGACGCATTTAATTCCAGGTCTGGTGGTAGGCAACGAAGAAACATCGATATATCCTTCATTACAGAAACATTCATACGACAATTCACTATCCGTACACGACGCATTTGGATCGCAGTCATTCAAATTAGGATTTGCACATTCATTTACTAATAATATTTACAATTAAGAAAATTTCAAGCTATTTTTCTAGAAGAAAATAAAAGAATCTTATCAAATTAGCTCTATTTATAAACTAATAAAATTTTAAAAAGTAGTAATTAAGTAAAAGGCCATTCCTTTGATTAATTTATTCATTGCGTAAAATTTGATGAGAACTATGAGGCTATAAGGAAATTGAGATTTTCTCGACATTTTTTTCCTCATCTTTAATGCCAATTTGATGCCAATAAGAAAGTTTCCTTCTGGTATGAAGCTTAAGTACCAACCTAAACAAATACCACCAGATCTTGTACCATTATTTGCGCATCGACATCGTGAACGACCATTTGCATCTATCACACAAATCTCTCCATGACCTAAACCAAACTTTTTTGTTTGTCGATTTCGATGTGCTCAATATGATATGACATTATTTATTTATGAGCCACAAATTGGTTTGCTTGGCCGAATTCACTCTTTTTTGCAATTGAAATTTATATTATTTTCAAAAATTTAATGGATTCAAGGAAAATTGCGTAGAAAAAGGCAAAGAAACAAAGCAAAGAAAAAAGTAAATAAAATAAGGAGAGAATTATTCAAATCGTCTTTTCAAAATCTTCGATTACCTAAAATATTAATTTTTGATTTATTGCATGATAATATGATTATCTGACCTGTTTCTCAATAACTCTGCGCCCTTTCTTATTTTATTGCATATATAAAATTAAAAAAATCTATAAGGTCCTTTCCAAATTTTTCTAGAATCAGTGAATAATGGCTATAATCCATTATGGTGCAATATTTTCTATTCTTATTTATTTTGGCTTTTTCATAGTTATTCATAATTCAATTTTATTAATTTATGATTTTTAAGTACAGTTTGAAGATATTTCAATTTGAAGATAATAAGATAAAATAATGAAAGATTTTTCCATTTTTTCTCAAAATTCTTCTATTTTTAGATTTAAGCGGCAATGGATTGGAATGATTTTGAATTCTTGGACGATCATCAGAACAAATACTTGAAATGTGGTTTTTTTATTCATTAAGGTCTTTAGGCTATTTAACACTAATAAAATCTGGAAGACTACTTGAGGCTAACGGTTAAACAGGAATTGCCCAAATTTTGTTGTGGGTTGCGATTTCTCCTAAAAAACTGGAAAAACTTTATTCTTTCTTCCACGGTCCAAAATACTTCACCAATGTTTTATGCTTAAGCTTAAATTCTAATTTTTTATGGATTTTAGGAATATTCGAATTCCGGCATTCAATCTCCTAATATTTTCATTAGCATATACAAACCTTTGCATGCATTTGGCTTCTTCGGATTGCATTCCTCCTCTTTAAATTGTACTTTACCTTCATTTGATTTAACTTGTTTTCCATAAGCTTCGATCAATTCATTTTGTATAAGTGAGCAATTAGCGATAATATTATTGATATATTGTTGCAGAAGTTGTTCGGGAACACATCTAGTCGAACCTTTTGGACGAATTGTACCTTTCTTGCAGACACAGTGTGATGCACCTCCGACCATCTGTATAACGAAATTATTCACTAAATTTGTGATTTTTTGATTACCATAAAAATCTTATCGGTTTCCTTATTCCTTCTGCAAATTGCAAACATCTGATAAATTCGGCTATTGGCAATTTCATCACGTCTTTATCTAGGCAGTTGTATTTCAAACATAAACCATTTATACAAAAAATTTTTCGTAATTCATAAATTCCACTTTTTATTAGTCTTTATTCATACTTTAAAAGACAAAAAGATTACTGCTGCGTCTTTCAATAACAAGGAAGTGAAAGGTAAGTAAATGGTTAGCATTCATCATTACCGGTTAAGCTGACTCCATTGTCAGTATGTTGAGATAATTTCGCCAAGAATTTATCAAAAGTTAAATGTATAGGTGGGTTCAGCACCACTCGCATTTATTAATAATTGGTCTATTCTAACGAGAAGCCATGATGCTCGAAATGATAATTTATCCAAGTCTGCTTGTACTGATTTAATTAAACCATTAAATAATCAAAACAACAACAATTCATCGACGTCATCATTGTTAACAAATAAATTTTTTCTATTAATTCTAAAAATATCACTTACCATTTCTGGTTTTGCTAACTACCAGAGTGAAAGTCGAAAGCTACTTGAGGATGTGGTTTTCCAGCACCAATTTCCATTTTTAATGATTAACAGTTCATCAAAGGACAAGAATCGAATGCAGATGACTTTTTGTCAAAATTATGACACCACTCAACCACCTTTCACCCATTAAGTAACAAAAATTTTTTTCACTAGTTTAGAAACCGATTTCGTTTTAAGACAAATGGCAAAAAAGCTAGTTAACACCCCATTTGTGTTTAGGCTATTTGAGCTGGATATACGATTAGAGATTTTGTTAATCATTCAGCTATGTGACAGGTCCAGTATTATCTAAAAGAAAATGGAAATCTAAACTAAAGAGAAATTAAAACAAAAAACCTACCATACAAATTTCTCCAAGGTTTTCTCGACATCCATGATTCGTTTTGCACTGAGTAAAAGATTTCGAATTCAGTGGTCGCTGAAATTTGTTACTGTTTATTGATTTCCTTGCTTTTTTACCACCAGGACATACATCCAGTGGTTTCTCATCAGATCCACCTTCACAGTCATTTTTTCCATCCTTTACCATGTTACCATCAATACACCTTGGTGATCCACATTTACATTCGAACTGAGTCACAGTGCATTCTGAAACTAGCATAAATTCTCTTTATTGTGCTTTTTTAAGAAAAATGTGGAAATAAAAATCTAATTTTATTTTTTCGATCGCGTAAACTCAGATAAAAAATTTCTTTCTTCTTTTTATATTCCGCATAAAATGATTAAAATGATGTGTTTTTTTTGCCATTATAATTCAAACTTGGTCGAAAATACTTATCTGACCTTGACAAAACAATGGATGAAATATGATGACAGAAAAGGTTAAATTTTTGGGAAACTTCTTAATCGAAAAAAGAAACCATATAAAAACTTAATAGGAACGCGAGTACGATGGTGAACATTAAATCCAGCATAAAATTAGAAATCTCACAGGCAACACTGGACCCCACTTCTCTACTCAACTAGTTCTCTGAATCTATTTATACAAATCCGCAAATGATTCTCTGGCAAAGGGATCTCGTCCGAAGTCAGTAAAACAAGAACACAAAAATTATTAAATAGGAAATCGCTGTAACTTATTGGTTTCCATATTTTCTTATTTCTTATTTCAACTTAAAATTTAAAAGCTATAAATTTATAGAATTAAAGTTTTGATAATATTTTCTAAATCTATACAATTCTGGTAACTAAGATAATCATCATTCATTTTCGATTTAATTAGGACAACGAACGAATATGATGAAATTAAGCAAACTGAAAAATGTTAATATAAAAGAACGTGTTAATATAATATATGTTAATATAAAAGCAGGTAGAATTCATTACCTTCATCAGAACCATCTTTGCAATCTTCGATGCCATTTTGAAATTGATCACCACTAATGCATTTCGAGTGATCATTACATAAAAAATGACCTGCAGGGCATGCTGAAACAACAATTCCTTTTTTATTTCATCTAACGTCCAGATTACTTAGAAATCGACTGAAAAAATTTAGTAATAATTGAAATATCCTCATTTTAGAATATATAATAAAACGAAAGAAGCATACGTTCATCCGATTTGTCTTTGCAGTGAGCAACTCCGTCTTGATATTTCGACAACTCTACGCATGCACTTTTATCAGCACAGACGAAATTGTGTGGTGGGCAACCTTTAATTTAATATTGTTTTTTTTTTTTAATTTCAGTTTCTTAAAATTTTCCACGAAGAAAATCCACACAATAATTTGATGGCTACAAATCAATTTATTTGAATTTTTTACATCAAAAAAGAAAAATCATTGCCTCCACTATTAATAATATTAATAAATTTTGAAGTATCTTGATTGGAAAATAAGTAAAAAAGGCGTCATATTGCCAGAAATGATTATTTCCAATGCTTTTAGGATCTTATGAAAAAAACTCTAAGAAAAGTATTCTACATTTCTATAAGTAGTTGAATTCACCTTCATCGAATCCCGATGCACAATCAATCGCCCCATCATTAACTTTATACTGTGCAATGCATCGTGGTGAACCAAATTGACAGTCAAATTGCCAAGGTAAACATTCTAAAACTAATTTTATGTCCAAATATCAAGATATTAATATTTGGTTATTTTTTAATAAGATTGATTTGCGTATATCTTCCTATCTTCCTTCGCTTTCTCAGATGGAATTAGACAGTGGAACTGGTGCTATGTATTAGGAGATGTATCACCTAGATTTTAAAAAACTGCTTTTATGGTAAATTCGATCAAATTTTGTTGAATGGATTAAAGGTTGGTAAAAACTATAGATGAAATATGGATGAAAGGAATTTTTGATTTTACAATACGGAGAAATCCGCAATAAATCACAAAAAAAAAAAATATCAAGAAGCCGCATTTTCATCGTATTCAAATAAAATTATAACTAGAACAATAACAAAAATTATAATTAGAATATTAGATAAATTTTAGAATTAGAATTAATCCCGGAAATTTGCTTCGTATTTCGAATAGTATTATGATATTTTGTGTTGTTACATAATTGTTTATATATATATTTTGTAAAATTGTATTAATTATTAAAAATTGTATTAATTATTAAAATTATTATTAAAAATTATAATTATCTGCAAAATGGTTTCATTCTAGTAGTCGCTGAAGCCAGCCAAATCAGAAATTGTGCATTTAAAACAATTTGCTCAAATCCTTTATTTGGTGAATGGATTATTACAAATGAACCAAATGTTTCGATGAAATTTAATCATCTAAAAAAAATGTGAAATTCGACTTTTACACTTTTTTGCAACCAAAAATTCGAATTATTTCATTATCTTCATTTCCTAATTTCTTTTATTTTCCATTCATTCATTTCATTCATTCATTTTTCATATTTTTTTTCATATTTGGTGATCGAAAAAGAAACAGTTTTCTGGTTTTATATAATTTATATTTCAAATTTTATTCGAATTTTATTTAATTGGTGAGAAAAAAGTCTTACATGCATTTAATTTTCACAATTATTTGCATTGTAAAATCATAAGAAGATAAGTAAAAATCACTCGCTTTTTCCTATTGACTTATTCACTTACTTTTTCCGTTTAGGCTAGCCCCGCTGGCTCAAATTTTTATTAGGGAGTCATTTGATGATAGAAGAAGCTAGGTCGTTAGCACCACCTGGACTTTATCATTACTCCTGTCACGGTAGGAATCGGTCCTATGGATACTCGATACGAATTGAGGCAACCACCCCACTCGATTTTGTTTTATATTCTCTTTTATCTATTTTCATATCGGCAAATCCAGCAGAATATATGGCTTGTTTACTGCTTTTAAATAAATGAAAATGAGGTCTATAATGGCTCAAACGGCCTGAAATAAGATTTTTTTTCGTTAGAGGAATAAAGTTAAATTTTCTTTACAGGAATAAACTTTGCCACTAAAAATGAAATCTGTATGCTGATAACCCATCTATATTTAGCATAACATTCTGCATTGTCTTAAAGTTGAAAAAATAAAATTATTTCCGCTCTCATTTCATCAAATAAGTTTTTTGACGTCTTTTAAAATCCCTTATGGATAAAAATTTCTGTATGTCAGTTTGGTCCAAAGCCAATATTAATTGTTGATCCTCGCGAAAAACAATTTCATTTCGACTTTGGCCAGAAAGACTTATTTTAATTTCTCGGAATGGATAAAAACTGAAACCGACAACGACGATTATGTAACAATGTTCGCATGTAGTAAATGAATAACAGTATATGCAAATATTTTTGATGTTCGAAAGGATCAATTTTTTGTTTCAAAAGACATCTTTTGTAATATTTAATAGTAAGCAAGTTAAGCAGTTAATATTCACCATTTCTGGTATGCTCTTCATTATTATTACAAGAAATTTTTTGGGGAAATACTTGCAGACAGGAATATGTGCAGGTGCAGGTTCTCAGCAGTACTAATTTTAATGAATATTTATAAAATATTCGGTGAAAAGGGTCAAATCTTGATACTTAAGTCGATGATTTAAACAGTATTATAGTTCTTACATATGCGGAAAGGGCGTAAAATTTCAAATGAACTTTGGAGAAATCATTGATCCTTTTTTGCCGTTTGAGCAGTAATCTAGGCTGCATCGCCAAATTTAGCGATAATTATTTTTACAGTAATGTCATTTAATGGCATCGTTGTTATTATTGTAATAAACGAAAATGAAAGCATCTTTGCGCAAATATATTCCAATAAAATCAATGAATATTGATGATGAAGGCTTTCATGGCCTACACACGTCGCAGAAGATAAACCCTCATAAAACAGAATAATAATACAATAACGACAATGCTACCTCTCCGCTGTTAAAGAAGATTCTCGCCGATTTTCGGACGAATTAGATGATTTATTGGCAAAATCAATCATTTCGTTCAGCAAAATAATGTTATATAATAGTTTATAAAGTCAAGTAAAACATTTTAGTTCTGATAAACGAGTTGTATAATAAGCAAAGAGAAATGGAATGATTGAATGGCCTATATTCTTTCACTAGCAATAACAAATTGTTTATAATTTTAAGTATAATTATAATAATTGTTTTCCTTATTCCACTTCAAATCGTTGAGACTTGGTTTTCAAACTCAGAACAGTGCTAAAAAATAAATAAAAAAGTGGCGGTAAAGAGAAAATTAAGGAAATATGAACGAAATCCAAAGTTAAGAAGTGCGATAACTATAGATATAGAAGTTGTAAATAAACAAGGCAAGTTAAGTCATTTAGCTTCGAAATCTAGGAAATTTCGGATAAACTAAATTAAATGCGGGCAATACCGCTGTACTTCTGTTTGATGCCAACTAACTCTCTGGAGAAGAGTATTCCATCCAAATAGTCAGTGGGAAATTTGGAGGGGAGGAGGCAGCCAAATTTGAAATTTAAGGAAGTATCAATAAAATTTGTATAAAATATTATTGATGCTTGTACGATTCATTGTTGATACTTATTTCTCATTATTTTTAAATGTATGGAGATCAATCGCTCTGGCTTCGAAAATTGGATCTTCTTTATTTTTCTCGCCAAAAAATTTTATAACCAGTCGGAAAATTTTTATTTCTTGTAAAAAAATTGTTTCAACAGTTACAAAAAAAAATATGATCAGACTTTATAATGATTTGCGAATTTCTCTATTCATTTAAAAACTCGTTCGGCGGGATCATCTGCTGAATTCTTTCGCTATGGATAATCCCCTATAGGATGATTTCTTTTAATAGAAAGAGAAATTTAAAAGAGACAATTCTCCTTATTTTTGCAGTTTGATGGCAATCTATGTGAATAATAAACGGCATTGAAATGATTGCTATTTAATAACTTATAGCAGCAATTTGGGAGGAAAGTTAATAACTTTATAAAGGTATTTAATAGAGAGAATATTTTATCGCTTGAAATTAAAGAAAGTCGTCCGTCGTCTTCATCTTCTTTTTCTTGATCAATCGATTCATTCGGATGGATAGGCATTATGGCCTTCAAATTGCGGTCAGTCGGATGCCTCATCATTCCTAATTACTAACCAAAAAAATTTTCATTCCACTCAGAAAATAGATGGTCTCTTTTCGAAAAAAAATTCCATTGAATTTACTCGCAGAAAATTATAAAAAAATTTTCTTTCTCTTCCACAATCGTCGGCATAAGAAAATTTTACAGCATTTTTTGCCAGTTTGCGAATGTTTTCTGATTTTAGAAATTTGAATTTTGTAAAATTGATCTCGTTAAATCTTGTTCTCGTTAAAATCACGAAGATCGACATTTGCTTAGCGATTTTGCGAATAAAAATTAGTAAAATTGATGACTGATAAAATTTATATTATTCTTGAGTAAGCTAGGAATACTTTCATTTGATGAATTTTTAGTGGAATCGCCGTGAAATCAAAGTTAAAGCTTTCATTTATCTCATTGCAGTATTTGCAATATTGCGATTGCATTATCAGTAAGAATAAAAGATATAAAAAATCTATCTTCGGCTAATTCTTAATAAATATGCTCACTGAAGGCATCTCACGTAACTATACCCCCTTTCGTCTGAATATCATCCTCATAATAGCATTATCATAAAAAGACTATACTCTTCGCCAGTTTCAGGACTTGGTGCTTATTTCGTTCTATACGAAGGCTGGGTGGAATAAAACTCTTGGGCGACCGATGAATGCCTAATTTGTTACGATCAGACAAAGTTTTGACAAACATAGAGCCCAGCTAAATATGGGTATTAATGAAAAAAGAAACCGCTACCAGACAGTAAGGAGTCTAGAAATTTAGAAATTTCACTCCGTTACAGTCAGCAATCTATCCTATAATAAAACTGATGGATGGGGAAGTTAAACTTCTTTCAATAAACCTAGCTTAGAAGGATATTTGTTTCTATAAAATTTATTGTTGAAAGACCTTACAATTATTACAATACAACTGATATGAATTTTTTCATGAAAATGTATGTGTAAAAAATTATTGCTAAGCCGTTAGCGGGTTGAGTTATGAAATTTTAGAAATTTTAGAAATTTTCTTATAAATTTGCACTGTTATTCACGATGATTGCTTTTTTTCGCAATCGAGGCCTTGGAATCAACATTTTATGATTATCGCGATCCATTAATTATGATCCACAATTTTGTAATTGTGGAAAATATGATTGTGATTAAAAATTTTTTAGCCGACAATAGGCTACTATAAATTGGGCCAACATTAACATTAAGAAAACTCTTGCAAGCCAGTTGGATCGAATAAAAGTTATATGTTCATTTGGATATTCGTATCATTAGGAAAAGATATTAGAGACTGAACAATCAGACTTGAAAGCATTATATGCAAGTTACCATCTTTTTTATATATGAAGTTTCACTCTTATAACCAGCAGAGCTAGTTTAACTAGTAATGGTTTGAGCTGTTAAGAAAAAAATTATTCATTATCCTTTGGAAATGAAGAAATTTGGGAAATAATATTAACAGTTGGAAATATATGCCATATATGCCAAAGGTATCAGAGGTTAGATTCCTTCCATGACAGGAATAAATCTGCTATTGGTTATTTTTGAATATGGCAATAGATTATTGATATAAAAGTTTAGAAATGAA